CTTACCGAAAAATGCCCAGAAATTTCAAACCCACAAGTTGAAGCCGACGGACAGCAGAGGGAGGAAGACGCAGATCTGGGATTTTCTGGATTCAACAAGTGTTCTAAGACAAGAAAATAGGGAGAAATCCCCAAGCTTTGCCGGATTTCCGGCCGGAAAATGGGTGGCGGTAGTTGGGGGGACTCGTCGAGTGCAGAGGGTCGGGGGAGGAAGGGAAGCAGAAGCAGAAACACGCGGCTGTGAGGGAGAAAAGAAAGAAAAAGAAAAAGAAAAAGCAATTCATCCTTATCCTAATTTCCTTTCTTTTTAGCCCCTCAACTTTTTAAAGTTTTGCGATTAAACCCCAAAACAATATTTTTCCTCAAATAAGTCCTCAATTTAATGCTAAAATACCCCAAAATTTTGGGATATTACACTCCGCAAAAACCGAGCACTCAATTCACGTACTAATTGACAGAACGATCTGGAACCTAATCAAAATATTCCAACAATTAATTACCGTACTATCATGAATTCAACTAAAATCATCATTACGATCACTCTTAATCACAATACTATTTCTATTAATCTCCACATAATCAAATATTTCCAAATTCGTCCTTATATCACAAACTAATCATTTAAATCCCCGTTAATTGTTGGCCCTCGGTGTGTAAACAGTAATCTGTGAATAGTGCCGTGAACAGTAACTCCAACTTCCAAAAATTGCCCAAACCACTAGCTAATTCACGAGATTTTCTCCAAAAATCACAGCAATCTAAATCAAGCTAATTTACACTTAAATTAAACAAAAACCCACTTGAATTAGTGCTTAAATCTCATCCTAAAGCTACCGGAATTATCCCCAATTTTCAACCAAATTCGGACATCACAGGGGCAGCCAATAAATGGACAATTTCAAGCTTAAATGGCTGTCACATACCAAAATTTTCCAGCTGTAGAAACCGGAGCTGCAGGGGGAAGAAGCCGGCGAGAATCTGCAGAAAATTCACGGAAATCTACCCAAAATTGAAGGAACCAAGAGCAATTAAGGTAACCCAAGGCAATTCAAGGAAAAACAAAGGGATTTAATGGCTGTTTCTTACCCAAAATCACAGCAATTCGCCCCCACAAACAAGAGCAGCCGGCGGACAGCAGAGGGAAGAGCAGAGCAGATCCGGGGTTTTCCAAGCAGGGGGGAAATTTCTAGGTTTCAATCTGTGTTTTAGAGCAAGAAAGGAAGGAGAAATCAAGCCTCCTTACCGGTTTCTCAAAGGCTGGTGCCGGGTCCCTTTTTTTTTTCTCTCGGGTTGCAGACAAGAAGAGCAGACGCGAAATGGCTGGGGAAGAAGGAAGAAAGAAAGAAAAAAGGAGAAAAAGAAAAGAAGCCATCCTTATCCAAAATCTTTTCCCTTTTTAAGTCCCTAAACTTTCAAACTTTTGGCTATTAAGCCCAAAACAATATTTCTTTCTCAAACAAGTCCCTAACTCACTTAAATATTCTAGAAAATTTTGGGGTATTACATCCACCCCTCCTAAAAAGGAGTTTTGTCCCCAAAACTCAAATTAGGGATCATTTTAAGTGGTAAATGGCTTCACACAATCCAAGGCAAAACAAATGTCTAACAAACTCTTTATGAACAGAACATAGCCTATTATGCTTTTGCTGCGCCACTTTGATATTAAACCACAACTAATCACAAAAGCAGAACACTAACTATTTAACAGAATTTACCATGAAATAAGCTACTGGAGGCTGGGGTGACATGGGAAGCACAAGGAATAAAAATAAATCCTGCCAAAGCCACAAAAGAATAGTTGTGGGGTTACGCTATGAACCCAACACAAAACTAGTTGACAAAGAATGGCATGGATTTAAAGACAAGTACAACAAAACTTGAACTCTATTAAAGACGGATAAGCATCCAATGGATATACAAATCATGAATGAATGAACAAGTGCATGGAGGCCTTATACACTCTGCCCCAAAACAAGGTTAACCAATAAGATCATGTTTAACAAAGCAACTGGAATCAAGAAACAAATTTTAGCAATTAACAAGTGTTAAAAGCTAGACCCATCAAATGATATGTGAAATCTCAAGAATTGCAACAGAATAAAATCAATGGAATATATGACTGCTTGGAAGAATATTGGAACATAAGAGTGCAAGGTAGAATGCCTCAAAAATTTCAACAACAAAACGGCATTCACCAAGAATCAAAATCAAATTTAACCAAGCAGTCAAAATTGAGAGACAAGACTTAACCATGAAACAAGCAATAGAATTCAAGGATTAGGCCCACAAAAGAGATTTCAATAATGACAATGAGAACAAGGATTCAAGAGCAGATATAATCAGGATGTCAAGATCTAGCACCTCAAGTACTAGAATTAATTGACAGAATAATCAATAATGGGGATCAGGATACTTCAAAGGCTACCCCTTCACCTCGTAGCTCATGGAGGCTAAGAAAATTTACAATCAAGTCATCCTAGTGTCAAGTCAAAGCTAAGACATCCAGAATACAAAGATTAACACTTACAAGAGACAAGAATTAGGATGCCTCATATGGTTATTTTCCAATAATCATCACCCCTCCTAAAGAGGTGTCCATATGAACAAAAATCAAAAATCAAGAAGATCAACAGGTATACTGAAACAAGAACTAGCAGAATATGCCGGATTTGAGCAAGAGCAACATACAGAATTTGAGCAAGAACCAGTGTCAGAACAAGAACATTTGCAAGGACAACTCAAAATAGATTTCAAAAACCAAATATCAATTGATTTTCAAGAATAGATTCCAAGAACAATACAAGAATCAATTTCAGACAAGTATCAAGATAATGAGGATTTCAATAATCATTATCTATTTCCTTTGGATTTCAGTTTCAAGAACAAGTATAAAGCAATCTCAAGAAAGATTCAAGATGGATTTCAAGAGTTTCAAGCAATTTCAACAGATATCAAGAATATAAAGATTAGCAACGATAGAGAATTTAACTTTATGACAACTTGCCAATCTTCACAAAAACAAGGCAATTTCAATTGAATGATCACTGCTCTTGATTAACCAATATAGAAAAAATGAACCACATGAAAAAACTATGAAGCTCCAAATGGAAAAAGTGAAACTTCACTATAAAACTTTCAGAAAGATAAGGAGCAACGGAATTACCAAGTTATCCAGCTCCTAAAATGCATCCAGAAAACACACAACATTTGCTAAAATAGCCTTGAATCTCTTACAAAGTAGAGGGTTGCCCATCTTCCACTAGTCATGTGACAAATAGAGCAAATTTCTCAACCAACTATGTGGTAGAGACCAACAGGATCAGTAGCAAAAAACATCTCTGCAACTCCCTAGATTTTCCAATTGTGGCAAAAGAGCATATAAAATTCTATTCAAGTAACAAGTCTAAACAAATGCGGACTATCAAAAAATGACCAAGTTTCAAAACAAGGTCTTACGAACATGGTGGACAAGATTAATTTCATGAATCTGTACAGGGTATGAAGGCAAGAAACAAGAACAATCAGATTACCATCTCATTAAAATGGATTAGAAACTTCAGGCAACACGAATCAGAATCGTCCCTTATATAACCCCATCACTCATCTCACCGCGGTTCTAAAATCCACTGGCTAGCCAATTTCCAAACAAATCCTAGGTATTCAATTAAACCTAGGTATTTAATTAAATCTAAACTCGATATCACTCAATCTGGAGGTGCTTAATTTAATCCTAAGCTCTTAATTTTAAACCTAAGCTCTTAATTCCAACCTAAGCTCTGATACCACTAAATCTGTCACGCCCCAAAATCCAAATTCGAGGTGCGACAGACGCCGTGCACTCGTGAGACGGGTCCCACAAGTGCACAAGGCTCGGAACTTATCCAATTCATAATCTGATACCACAAAATTTGAAGATCAAATCTCTTGTAACTAACAATCCATTCAATGAATTTATAAAATCTCCAATTAAAATCCAATTTACAAGATCATGATTTATTTTCTAAAATCTATAACAAATCTCGAAATGGCTAGCCTTCTAACTCGTCACTTCCCATGGTTTCCCCGTCCTCGGTTTCACTTCCTGAAATGGTGGACAAGGAAAACTATGAGATAAACTCAGTAAGTAAAATATGGAGTGCCCCTTATTAAACTTTTAGCATGCCAACATGTGCAATCACGCAAAACGGATACAGTACGAGAATGAAATAGACGTCTCCTCTATAGGTCACGGCCGGTGTTATAAACCTCCCACTGACACACAACAGAAATTACTAGTGTTTAACCCCCACTAGCAGGGTTACAGAAACGAACCGGTTCTATCAGTAACATGTCGACATGTGCTAGCGTTTAACCCCCACTAGCAGGATTACAGAAATAACATGATCATATTGGAGACAAAACAGGCAGAAATTAGTAGAAAATCATAATTCACAATCACTTTCAAATCATCAAGACAGTCAAATAAACTTCAAGCAGGCATGCTCAATCAATAAAAAGAATAATAATCTTATTTCAAATCAATTATGCTTATTTTGTATAAAACGGGTTTAATCCCGCCACCACTTCAAAAACAAATCAAAACATGCTTTTAAAAACTGTACGGGCATTACCATAATTTTACTTACCTCACTCCGCAAAAACCGAGCACTCAATTCACGTACTAACTGACAGAACGATCGGGAACCTAATCAAAATATTCCAACAATTAATTACCGTACTATCACGAATTCAACTGAAATCATCATTACGATCACTCTTAATCACAATACTATTTCTATCAATCTCCACATAATCAAATATTTCCAAATTCGTTCTTATATCACAAACTAATCATTTAAATCCCCATTAATTGTTGGCCCTCGGTGTGTGAACAGTAATCTGTGAATAGTGTCATGAACAGTAACCACGACATGAACAGTAACTCCAACTTCCAAAAATTGCCCAAACCACTAGCTAATTCACGAGATTTTCTCCAAAATCACAAAAATTACTGTTCATAAGCACTGTTCACACACCGAGACGGTTAACGGGGATTTAAAGGTTTAGTTTATGATATAAGAACAATTTGGGAGATGTTTGGTTATGTGGAGATTGATAGAAATAGCACTGTGATTAGGGGTAGTGCTAATGATGATTTCACTGTGAATTTGTGATAGTGCGGTATTAATTGTGGAATATTGTGATTAGGTGTTGATCGTTTTGTCACCGTAACTCTTGGGTTAGCCTTCTGTTCTGTGCGAGTGAGGTAACTAAATTATGGTAAAGCCCTTTGATTTTAAAGCATGTTTTGAATTGTTTTTGAGATGGTGGCAAGGTTCAAATTGATTTTAAATTGATTTTATCAGTATCTGAGTGTGATTTAAACTGAAATGAAAACTGTGATGATTTTTATGAGAATTTCATTGTTTTTCTGGAATTGAGTATGATTGAAATGAAAATGAGAGTTTTATCATTTTCTGGAGTAAAGCATGCCTATTTGGAATTGATTGAATTGTTTTGATGAACTGAGAGTTTGGTAAATGTTGAGTTTTCTGTTAAATCCATGCCCACATGGAAATTTTTCGATTTGTTCTAAAATTTGAGATTGATTGTGAATCTTGGGTTTTTCTGTAAATTTTGCATGGTTTTGTCTCGGATATAGTCATGATTACTGATTACTGTGCCCGCTAGTGGGAGGTTTATAAACACTAGCACATGTCGACATGTTTACTGATATGACCGGTCCATTCTGTAACCCTGCCAATGGGGGTTAAACATTGGTAATCACTGTCGCCTGCCAGTGGGAGTTGTAAACACTGGTACTTCTGTAACCTTGCCAATGGGGTTAAACATTGGTAATTACTGACGCCTGCTAGTGGGAGTTGTAAACACTGGTACCATTACTGACGCTTGCCAGTGGGAGTTGTTAAACACTGGTACTTTTGTAACCTTGCCAATGGGGTTAAACATTGGTAACTACTGTGCCCGCCAGTGGGAGGTTTATAAACGCTGGCCACGACCTATGGATGAGACTACTGATGAGTTTTATTCTGTATGAACGGTTTGTCATGAAACACTTTGTTATTGAACCGAACTGGATTTTTGCATTAACGGTTTTGTCACTGAACGTTTTGCTATTGAACTGAATCTGATTTTTATTTTAACGAGTTATCACTGAAAGCTTTGTTATGCTTATATGGTTTATCTGACATGTTTAAATTTTTACCAAGGGATATCCATATTTACTTACTGAGATATTTTATCTCATAGTTTTCCTTGTCCACCATTTCAGGAAGCGAAACCGAGGACGGGGAAACCAAGGGGAGTGACCAGTTAGACGGCTAGTCATTTCGAGATTGATATAGATTTGAGATATAGATTATGATCTTGTAAATTAAAGTTTAATTGGAGATTTTATAAATTCATTTGGTGGATTGTTAGTTTATAAGAGATTTGATCTGGAGATTTTGAGATTAAGTGATGTTGGATATAGAATTAATTTTGAAATATCCGAGCTTAGTTACTGGATTGTCAGATGTGAATTGAATAAGTTTCGAGCCTTGTGCATTCGTGGGACCCGCTCATGAGTGCATGGCGTCTGCCACGTCCTCGAATTCGGGTTCTGGGGCGTGACACAATTACTTTAATTTTTAAAAATTATCATATATATATATGTGGACCCGAAATTTTTCCACCACATTTAATTGTCCTCTTTGTTTTTTCATGTAATTTTTTTACATAAAAATGACCTATTTTTGGATGGAAAATTGTGCAATGGAAAGATAACTTTGGGTTTAA